ATGATAGGTTGGTATTAGCTTCTCTGGAGCAATATATTCTACTCAATAGTGATGAATTCTTTGGAGCTACTGCTTCAGTGACATTAGAATTACTAGTAAATCTTTATGGGCTTTATAGGGGTTTTGCCAAGATGAGCTACCAAATACCTTACAGCCCGGAAGCAGAAAGAATCCTCTTCCAGCTATTGGCTGAAAATGATTGGGATTCTCTTTCTACAAGAATCCATTTGACATCACTAAAATGGTTGTTCCAACAAGAAAAACTCTGCAAGTTATTGTCCAAACAGATATTGAAGCTTTGCATCAACAACTCAGCTGGTAATTATATAGTTCCTTATGGAAAAACTAGTCAAAACGTTGATTTACAAGTAATTGCTGAGTTGATATCATTCGGAGACAACTTTGGAGCAATGATTTTGGTATGTTTATTAGGAGAACTGGTGGAAGATGCCAACCAAGAGCACGATATCATTTCAGTAGTAAATGCAATTACCAAAATCATTGAAATTGCACCAGCTGCTTCAGATCAATTATGCATGTATGGGATAGGTGGTGTTCTACAAAATATCAATTACGGGTCAAATTTTCATTTTCCGGAAGTAATCAGTTCCACCACTCTGCTTGTTTTTAGCATTCTCAGATCGGTACACTCAGAATCAATTTCAAATGATGAAGCTTGGGTTGGGATCACAATAAAGGTATAAAAAATTTACCCCATTCATTTGACAAATTATCTACTTCCTAAAAGCCAAATGACATTTCACCTTAAATTGTAGTCGATGGATTACATGATCTCCATGGTAGCTGCCGACGGATGGACTGAAGAAGGTCTTCGAATACTTATCATTCTTTCTCTAATTTTGTACCACTCGACGAATCAGGCAATGATACAGGCTTCTAAGATTATACTCTTGAGTGCTCCTTTGGTTTCAATAATTAATAACAGTGTCTCAGAAGCCTGTTCAAAGGGACCTGCTCTGCTTGACCATGACGAGGGAACAAAACCAGGAGAAATTCTCATAATTGTGTTGTCACTGATCTTCTTCTCTTTCAGAAGGTAACACTACCAAATACTCCCTACACGACTTACTATTTTACCATACTTGTTTAAACTGACTTCACTAATGCATCAGTGCACAAGCTGTTCTACCAGGTATGGTAGACTTTCAGAATTTACTTCATGAGGGCTGTGAGGTTCAGCCACTATCCTATGTCAGCATCCGAGGACATGACTTGTGCAAGTTGATGCACTTTGGCTCACCTCCGGTAAAACGAATTGCTTCGTTTTGTCTTCTGCAAATATTCACTGGAATATCAGACCACAGAAGTAGAAATCAAGTCCATTTAAAATTCAGAGCAGGCTACCTGTCGTCCATGAGAGCTGTACTAGAAGGCTTGATATTTTATGGTGACATCAGAGTCTCCAGAAACTGTTCCCTATGTTTATCGACTCTCATGACTTGGAAAGAGGTGGAAATTGAATCCATAGCTTCTGCAAAGAACAATTGGTTCAGACTGATAATAGAGGAGCTAGTGATGTCTCTGGCAACTCCATCTATGCCATCAAACTCTTTCATGATTCAACATAAGCCTGCAGTTAATATTGCAATCTCGTTGCTAAAACTAGACCAAATTCCTCCCTGGATGACTACGGTATTTGATGATTCTTCTATAGTCAGTATTATTCAGAACATGTCACCAAACAACATGAGCACTGAATTGGTGCTCTTGTTTCGGGAGCTTCTGAATTCTGGGTATCTGAAATCTGAGCACATTGCTGATCTAAATCGGGTTTTTCAGGTAAATTAACCTTACTGGCTCATTGATTTATCTTGCTTATTCCTTGACTGGCTTGACCTGTCGATCTCTTATCTGAATCATTGAGAAGACAAGGAATAAAGAATAAAGAGAAGCAGCAAAAGTTGTATATGCTATAAACCTCCTGCAAACCAGTTAACTTACATTTTAATGCTCCTATTCTATGCATAACATCAAGCATTCTAGTTACTAACTAAACAAAATGTTGACGGCAAATGTCATTTATTTTATTAATTTGAATATTCAAGGGAGACGGCGTTTCTATCACAGATAGCTCATTTCTTTAACTAAAAGAGGGCGTTCAGCTCTTTTAGAAGTTTCCTCTGAAAGCTAACATTCTTATTCATGTATTAGGCATGCCGGAGACACTTGTACACTAATGAATTTCAAGATACCGGTGCAGAGGGGCACAAGGAGAAGGCATGTGTAAACCTGGACGATTTAGGGAAAGCTCGTGCATTTCTCACAAGCCTCATTTCCCAGTCATTTCCCTATGTTGACCTTTGGAGATCTCCAAGCTGGAAGAAACAACTATTAGAAGAGATAGAACTATTCTCCAAACGTCTAATGGAAGATGAAGAAGGCTAAGCTATTTACATTATGTTTAAATATTCACTTGGATTTTAATGTTGTGCAGTCGCAACCTTTCCTAGAAACAATTCAAGGCTAATAATACTTAGTAACTATCTTGCAGTAGTGCTGTAAGTAACGTAAATCACATATCTCGGTGTATAAAGCTTAGTACTCATCGACATTCTTTGTGGTAAGAGTTATGTTAGCAGATGTACATAACACCCAATGAATTTAGCATCTGTTTGCTTGGTTTTGCTAAACAATTAATTTGTGTCAGTGAAATTATACATTAAATTGAAAATTCAAATAAGAGCAATCGTCTTTGTTAAAAATAAAAGCATGAATATAATGAGATATCACCTTTCTATTGTGTCATACTTTGTTTTGCCAAAAATAATATAAAATGCAAATGGGACCTAAATAATTGTTAATTGAAAATCAATTATTGCCAAAAAAAATGGGGACAGGAGCTTAATGTTGAGATTTAGTACGATGGACATATGTGATTTTTACGAATACGAGAGTTGTCCACCCTAAGCTGGTTTATTTTATATTACTCGAGCATAATGTCCACTGGAATTAGTTTGAATTGCAATTTAAGCCCAGTTTGAGCCCCATTCTTCTAATTTTTTTTTAAAACTCATTTTTAATCACACATTTTTCAATAAAATAATATTACACACAAATAAAAAAATTTTCTTTAATTTTTAACTACACATTCTCCATCAATCTACTATTCAAAATGCATTCTTTACCCCAAAATGAGAATCAAACAAGAGCTAAATGGGAACGTACGAATGTTCAACTTAGGCACTGTTTAATTGTACAAATTTTCCATGGAAGTAGAAAAATAAAATTTATTTTCCACATTTTTGCATGTTTGATCGACCAACTTTTTTTGACAATTGGTTTTTTGGCAACACTCCACATTACCCCTTTTTCTCCACCTTTTTGAGGAATTGGTTTTGCCATGGGTTTGGTGCTTTTGGCTTCCTCCATTTTCTTTTTTTTTTAACAATTGAAACAAATTCTATCCCCAGTTGTAACAAATTATATCCATTTAATTGATAATTTTCATGGAAAACAAAGCTAAATGAACACAAAAAGATCCAAAATTTCAATATTTTTCAGGTAGGAAATTATATCGATCAAAAACATTTAATTTACAATTTCCAATAGAACAAGTTCTAGACAATTTAATTCCCTGAAATTCGTTTTTTTTTCATCCAAATTTCACTCTTACAATCAAATGGACCCTTATTTTTTTCTTTATTATGACAAATTCATATAAGTCCGTACATTTTAGTTTAGAAAATAATGCTATAGATACGGAGTTTTTTGATAGAAAATTTTGACAAACAATACTTGACATGACACTATTGGAAGATGAGAAAAAAATGGCCAAGTTCTCTCAAAATTTTCTTGTACTTGAAGCTTTATTGTAGTTTAAATACTCAGTAGTTGAAAGCAAAGTGGTGCAAAATGTACATATATTTCATAAAGAGAGCCAAGTTGCAATCACTTGCAGTACCAGGATTTATTCTTCTACCACAGACCCATTTTGATCGGGAATTCAAGTATATTTATTAGTCGGGCAGAAAAAAGAGATTCAAGCTGAACTCACTTGCCATTTGTTTCTTATTTTTAGAAGAAATTAGATTGTTGATGGGCCCCATGTGGCCCTTTTTTTTATTTTGACTGGTCTCTCACATTGTGGGTGAGCTACAAGCTTCCAACGGTAAAAAAAAACTCATTTTTACACAGGAAAAATGGGAAACAAACAGGGCCTTACATGTTCCATGTGTAGTACTAGATATGGATGGATGGAATAATTCCTTTTTCTTTCTTAATACAGTGTCCAAGTGTTCAGTTTATTTACCGAAACTTGACATGATTGTGCTAGAGAACCATGTTCAGGCATTCGTCCCAAGTACAAATATTCAGTCAGTCTTATTGTCTGGTCATGGTTTCTCTGACAATAAGACCAAAGTGCCAATACGTATGCTGATGCTCTTGTTCATCACATGTAGTACCAAGAACTCGAAAATTATTGCCTGATCCTTGCGTATCTCATTCCAGCTTCTCGGCACGTAAATGATGCCATAAGATCAACTTAGACTATGTTTCTTTTTGTTGTCAAACCTAACTTGAATTCGAGAAAATGTCTCAACAATAGAACTAAAGTGAATTTTTATTATACCTTTGGTCTTTTATACTTATTTGCTTGTTCGTCAAACTTTTTTAAGCTTAGCCAAACCTGCTGCCAATCCCCCAACCAAATCCTAAAATCCAAGCAAGATAATAAGATTTGAAACTAGTTATCTAGAGCAGCTCAATGGCCAATAAGACATTTTTCATGTTATATCCCAACAAAATTTTCAATTTCTTACAAATTGCAACAATCAAGAATCAAAAGTTCTTGGCCAATCCAGGGAAACCAGCATATGAATATATCACTTAAAAACTGAGGGAAATACCATATTATGATGATATACATTTCCTTTGTTGCTCATGAAAGGACCTAGCAGAAGACTTGGCTTCCAGATAAAGAGTACCAACTTCTTCGAGATCTGCCTGCAAAAAGACAAAAGCTGAGTAAATATTCTCCTCATAAATACCTATTAGAATCCTCAACCAACTTATATCTAAGTACCTTGCAAATATTATTACGACCATTCATTTTAACAGCTATGCAGGAAAAAAAAATTGACAAGTGGATTATAAATAACAAAGCTAATTAAGAAAACGGAGACCAATAAAAAAATTTGCAGGGAAGTAAAACCTAAAGGATGGTTGCCGTCCAAAATCTCCAAGATAAGCCAGAATTTCCTCGTCTATCTGCAGTTCCTCGACTTGTGCTCTGATACCTTATACCTGCCCATTCCATCAACAAAAACATTTAATGAATAGTGGTTGTGTTGTAACCAAACATCGTCAGAATCAAGATTAAGTTTAATAGAACGCCACCAACCTTTTTCTTTCCTTATTTTCTACAATCAAATACCATTGCATAGTTGTTGCAGCTGCCCCACATTGTCCAAATTTATCTTCTTTACAAATTTTGTCCCCATTGTTAATCAAAAACACAAGTCTCAACAAGGCCATAAGAACATTTATGGTGGTGGTGTGCCTTATTATCGAAGTATAATTTCATTTCAAAGAACCTTTTGACTTGTAATTAGTCTCCAGTATTGCTGTCACGGGCCACCTTTTGATGGAAGACGATTAATTCTGGAAAGATGTAGTCGTTGAGGTATCTCTCGAGGGCAATGTGCAAGAAAGAATTGCTAATGGTTAGAGCAGACTAAGGCCAGGAACTTTTGAAGCATTTTGCCTATCCATTAAACTCCTCATTCTCTCAGAATCCTCATATCTACCAGCACCAGCAAATATGTTGGACAAAAGCACGTAGTCGCCGCCGTATTCCTTCTCCATATCCATAATTTTGTGTGTTATTCTCTGGCCCATCTCAACATTACCATGGAAGCTACAAGCACCTAGAAGTGTCCTCCAAACTACAACATTACCAATCTCAGTAGGAATCTCTAAAGCTATCTTCTCTGCTTCGTCTAATCTCCCTGCCCTTCCCAACATGTCTATCAAACTTCCATAGTGCTTAATGTCCGGTGCAATAGCACTTTTATCAACAAACTTCCTGAAAAACTCGAGCCCCTCGTCCACTAATCCACCGTGACTACAAGCATTTAGAACACTCAAAAGTGTGATCCGATTAGGCTTAACACTCTCATCCTCCATTCTTTTATAACAGTCTGTCGCTTCTTTAGCCATTCCATGCATTGCGAATCCAGAAATTATGGATGTCCAAGAAACCAAATTTCTCCTTTCATCTAATATATCTTCAAAAACTCTCTGTGCACACTCTATACTGCCACATTTAGCATATGCGTCTACGAGGCAATTCATGACACGAATATCAAATGCATTCAACCCGCTTTTCTCTCCATAAGCATGAACCATTTGGCCAAACTCGAGACACCTAACATTCCAAATGGCCGGATAAATGGCAAGAAGAGATAATTCAGTGGGCTTGATGCCCTCGTGCACAACCATTCTTCGAAACAATGACAATGCTTCATCGAACTGATTCATCCTCGTGCACCCATCTATCAAACCAGTCCAAGAAACCACATTCTTCTCCGGCATCACGTCAAAAACAGCCCTTGCCGATTCAATCTCACCCCACTTACAAAACCCGGTTATCAAAACATTCCATGTCACCAAATTCCTTTCAGGCATTTCATCGAACACTTTCTTCGCTTCAACCATACTCCCACAATCTCCATACATATTAACAACTGCAGTTTGCACATAGACGTGAAACTCAAACCCCACTTTGAGGCTCAAACAATGCAGCTGATTTCCTATTCTGGGTCGTTTTAAATTGGCACAGGCTTTGATGAGATAGGAATATGTAAAGCTATCAAAAAATACAGGGTTATATTTGTAAATGAGATGTTTGAAAACAAATATAGCTTCATTAGGGAATGAACTGAGTGAATAGTGTTTAATTATAGAGTTCCAAACCGTGAGTAGTATGTTTACATTTTCAATTTCATGTACAAGTAAATGGGAATGGAACTGTTGAATGGCTCGGCGGCAGTGCAGGAGTCTGTGTGGAAGCGACAGAATGAACTGGTGTCTGCTCATCGAGTGACGACGTGAAACCTATATATACCATATCAGCATTAATATGGATGGACTCGCTTTCTTTGCAAACACAAACAGTTTCTGTCTGAAAAAAATTGAATTTCGGTCAATTTTGTGGATGAAGAAAAGATTTTGGCCCCATATATATATATATATATATATATTTGGGTAGATGAGTTTTGAAATAGCGAATTTTTGTAAAATGTAAAAAAAAAAAATTGGATTTACTTACAAAATATTTTCACAATAAAATAGTTTTAAACATAAACTAATTTTTTTATTTTTTAACTACAATTCTCCAAAAAAATCACTAGAGTAATGCAATTTAATCGCATTGGGATTGCAACTCCAATCTAAGTTGCAAGACTTTTGAGTAACGGGAAAGACATTGCTTACTCATCGAAAAAAAAGCTAATGTGACATTAATTATAAGTAGAATTAAACAATTCTATATTTCATTCAACCAATCATTTAACGTTACCTAAACTGGGGTTGCAACCCGATGGGGCTATGTAGCTTTACTCTATTATAAAACTTATTTTCGACCCCAAAAATGGTGCTCAATGACACCATTAAGATAGACCTCACATCTCAGACCTTATTATTTGTTTTTTTTTTTAATATAAATATTTTACATATATGAGAGGGGTCTTCTCAAGCTGGTTTACCTTACATTACTTTAGAATATTGTCCAGTGGAAATAATCTGAATTACAAATTTGATCAAGAATTTAATATTATATTTGATTAGTTGGATGAAAAGGTCTAGCAGACAAAAAGAATGACGATACAGTACTAGAATGGAGATATTCGAGAATGCATAAAGTACATATTCTAGTCAAGTGTTGCTTAATCTACCTTATCTAAACGTGCCATAATTGCGCTAAATAGAATAAAGAACTATGTTCAGGCATTCGACTGAAGTCACACTAGAAGATGATTCTGAATAAGCTAAAATTTCATGTGGCTTCAATGCTTTTGACATTCAGCATATGTAGTACTGTGACAAGCAGATGATATCATGTGATCAACTATGTTCGTTTTCATTGTCAAATTTTAACTTCGAATTTAACAAGGTTTCTCAACAACGGTTTAATTCTCAACTCAGAATGGTCCAACTATTTTCAACACGAGACTTCAAGAGTATAAAGCAGTGATATAAACATGAAGTACGTATATTGATACAGACAGGTCCAACTCAAACGACCTTGTGCTACCATAGTACCATTTCTCTGATGAAATGGTATGAGTTCAACATCTTTCTAACACAATGGAACACAGAATTTCTACTACGGTGTAGAGCATTTGGCTATCTGTGTGTACAACAGCCTTATCTTCCAGCAGATGCTACTACGCTGAGCAAATCTTGAAGCCAAAGTGCCTATTTATCAGCTCTGTGAACGCCACAGTCATTTTCTTCGTATTTTCTGACACTGGAGGGTGGACGCACTGAGGCAGTGGTCAAGCACCGACCATCGTCATAAGTTCACCTCAGTCAAAAAAGGGAGTTGAAACCAACTGTTGGAAAAGCAACACCATTTCTGGTGTTGAAGTAAAAGCTACTTAGGCTATTCAGAAACTTTTCTCAAAAGGATCACCTAGAGTTTTGCAGAAAATTGAACTGATAGGGATTCCGTGAACGATATAAGGTGTTGCAGTCCAGAAAATTCTTGAGCTTTCTTATTTTTGCCATTTAAATCCTGGCTCAATTCCCTCCTGTTCTAATACACAGACGAGAGCACAGACTCCAACCTACTCGTGTAAAACAATTCGTTTGCCCATTCCTAATAAAGGAATGGCATTGTCCATCCTCAAATTCTATGCAGTATGCGATATTGAAAATCATGAGCAATTTCTCCTCAACTAGCAGAAGCCAAGCACTAAAAACAATGGCAAAGGAAGCATTTTGGTAAACCCGTGAATATAATCTCTAAAGGTAAGCGAAAGCAATTAACAGTCTTACTTGTAAGTCCTAACGGTCTTCCAATGAGTGCAACTTCAACACACGGGTTGTCTTCAGGATAACTTCGATGACTACAAAATTATGCCAAAGTTTCTCGGTGGAAAAGAGCATCAACTAGAAGCCTCAGTGCACTAGAGAGATTTTCTCTGGTGACTAGAAACGCGTGTGGCCTTTTTCAAGTCTGGTACCCCATCTACTCTAAGACTGTTATTTCATGGTGAAATCAGAATGTTGTTTAAATCTATTTCAACTCCCCACTTGATCCCTATTCAGTTTAATTACCAAACCGATGAGTCGGCCATATGTCCATGCTTCTTTTGTCCTACTTTTGACATTGAGGGACCTGTACATCTGCTCACAACTTCTAAGGAATTGTCCCTTACCAAATGCAGAGAGAACAAGACTATCAGTGTTCATGTCCACATCATCATCAAGAAATCCCATTTTTCTCCAAGTACTTTTAACAGATGCCCCATCAAATCCTAATACGCACGCATCAAACAGGACTCCAACAGTGACTAAATCAGGTTTTACATACCGAGATGGTAGTTCTGAAAGCAATACTTTCAAGTCTCTAAAATCTTTCATTTTCAAATAAGCTAGAGAGATAATGTTTGCAGTAGTTGCATTCCACGGCACTTCATGTGATTCCATCTCCTGGATAATGGAATACATTTCTTTTTTACTCAAAACACAAGCACGTGAGAGAATGCGCAAACACCATACTAGATCAGTGCAACCAGTTTTTGCATAAAGATCCAGTCCCAAACCTTCTAATCTAGAAAACATACGATTATCAATGTAAACTGCTGCTAATTTTCGAATTACATCCTCTTTCAAAGAAGACTTTGAGTTCAAAATCCGTCGATACATCTTTTCCATTTTGTCCAAGATCCCGAATTTTGCATATGCCTCAAGCATTGCAACCAAAGTAGAAGCTTGCAAACCTATTCTTCTACTGTAGAGACTGTTATACATACTTTCCATCTTTTGGAGCAATCCAGCTCTTGCAAATTCTCTAACCAGCAAATTGTAAGTGATATGATCACATAAATATCCCTTAGACTCCATTGCCCTTACACATTGATCTATCTCATCATACATTTTATAGTTCCCATAAGCTTGTATTAGACCATCATAGGTTTCAGAATCTGGCTTCTCACCAACATCTTCCATCTCTCTGAGATAAAACATAGCATTGTCGAAACTCCCCTTTCTAGCAAAGCCATGAATTACAGAATTGTATATCCCTGTAGAAGGTTGAAGTTCATAGCATTTCATTTCTCTTAGACATATTTCAGCTTCTTCTAACAGTCCCTCCTTGACTAAAATCTCTATGATCTTCTCATAATTGGCTTCATTGATTCTTGATTTTTCCATAGACTTCCACAAGTCAAATACCTGTTAACGATAAAGAACATGAAATTAATGCTCATTTTCTAGAAAAGTATGGGCAACTGATATTCTCGATGTATAACTCATACACATGTGAATCTGAAATAAGTTTGATGTCTACTTGTGACAATGCATTCAAGTTCTTCCATTTGTTGTCAACAGGTCATTAGAGAAAGAATAAGCTTAACCAAATTCATCACCCCTCATCTTCACGCTCTACTCCTTTGTTTAAGTGATGAAGTTGCATTTTCTATTTTCCGCACACCACCTCTAACCACAACAAACAAAAGGGTAAAAAAAATGAGAAAGAAACATGTAGAGCTATAGTTGCATGCTCTCTCCTCTTACTGTTCCTTCAACCTCTTTCAACTCTTATTGGCTCATTACCCAGCAGAAGTATAACAAGAATCCATTTGTAGAAAAAGAAAGTGGAAACTGAAATCTAATTGACACGAAAAGTACAGTTTTAACTCCTGCCAAAAAGGTGGTCTAAAATGTGCTACTTATACTCGTGGTTCTTAAAACCTTGCTAACTATACCCACTTTGGTCAACTCAGCCCTACTTATGTTGCTGGTAGTGATCATTTGTTAGAGGCAAAATTATTTGGGTTGCTTTGGTTGGACAGATTGCAGATTCCATATATCCGTACGTAAAGACAAAGATTGTTATATTACTACTTGTGTTTTTGTGTAATAGAGATAGTATCTCCAAGTTTTCATTTAAGCACTCATCTTACTCTTCCCTTTATGTAATTCTAGTGGTGAGTATTTAGGTCTCCTCCAGCTCTCTTGTACTTCATTTTTTTTTTTTTATTAAGGTACAAGTAGCACTAAACCCCACACCTAGGCACACATGGTGTTTGGTAAAAAAAGGCCAAGACATTCATCTTCTCTTGAAGGGATTAATGACTTACCTGAGTTGAGTTTGACCAGTCCAGTTGTTAATAAATTTTGACAAAGAATCATAATCAAACCAAGAAGTAAATTGGCGAACATTAATAGCATGAAGTCTCAAGCAACCTCGAATACGAAAAAGCGAACCAAAATACTTTATCAAATAGGGGAGGCCCAAATCGGTGAATAAAACATGAATGAATAACAGATTCAATTATAACTTATAAGTTAACCTATCAATGGCTGCCACATATCATCAACAAAAAGACCCATTTACTCCAAGGTCTGGTCAGAAATCCATAAAAGGTTGTGACCAGGGAAGAATTACGACATGCTAAAATTGAGCAGCTTCCTCCCAAATAACCATTTCTCCTCTTGCTCCTGTTTGAGTCAGAGAGTTTAGAAATGGAAACCCTGGCTAGGTGAGGGGAATTTGTTGATCAAAATTTTTTGGAGTTGTGACTGAGTTCAAAAAAACTATTGAGAATCGCATTATTAATAAAAAAAGTAGCACAAGGAAACTCTAAGGGCAGAAGGATCATACAAAGTTATTCCAAGATCTGCATTTCCAAATGATAATTAACAACAATTATGCATCTAATTGCACTGAAATATAAAATTATAGGTTTACAGTGTAGAAAACATTAGCTGTAATTCATGAATAGCAACAGCCTTTCTGTTATTTCTTTCCTCGTTCAATTTTAGATGCATTTTCTCAAACAAAAATTGCAAAATTTAGCCCAATGACAAATTTTTTCAAAACATTCACACCCGTGTTATATTGTACGTCAATGAATCTTTATCAGGACAGAAGATAAAAATACAAAGTTTTAACGGGAAATGGAGGCATACCTCACGAAATTCATTGCACCTTGAAGTCTTTTTGAGGAATTTAACAACATCCCATAATTGTTCATTGCTCCAGTCCCCATCTTCCTTTAGCATCTGAACTGGGTCAAAATCTTGCTGTCCCTTGAGCTTTTCAAGAAAAGCCCTTTGATTCTGATGGGTTTTTCTAGTTTTAAAAAAAGTTGAGTAATCTTGATTTTTCGCTAATAAATGTGAACATTTTAACGATGGGCGGTATTGGGATTTTCCCACTCCATAAAAAAGAGGAGAAGAAGCTGAAGTGTGATAATAACGGAAACAGGGAAAATATATTGCCATTGAAGGTTTTGGCCACCGAGTGAGCTTAGACTGGGGGATAATAGGATTGTACTTTGAATAAATTGCATCTGGGGTCCCAAATCTTTTAAGATTGTGACTATGGATCCGAATCCTTGATTTCTAGCAATTGAGATCCCAAACCTTCAGCCCCTAAGGTGACAAAATTTTTAAGTAAAATGATCATTTTATTCTTAACTAGTTTAAAATAAATGTTATTTACAGTCCCTTACTGCCATAGTCATCTAACGTACATACATGTAACGGTTAGTGATTGGATGCATTAATATGATAATTTTTTTATTGCCTTATATATCAAATTATTAACCACCACATGTATATCATGTAGACGATTGTGATAGTGAGTTATTGCAAATAGCTTTATTCTTTTTTCTTCCCTCTATCTTTCTAATTTTAAAATCAATTACATCAACCTTTCTTAATTACTATCAATAAATTCAGTATCTATTTTTGGTAGCCCTAGTCTAGATATTATCCGATAATTTAAATTGATAAATTTATTCACCCTCTAAATACATAATCTTTCAAACATGATAGTTGAACATTAATTAGAATATCGTGACTCAAGTCTCGACACCACCTATCATTGAAAATTGTGTGCCAATCAGGTGAAATTACAATAACATCCTCTCAAGATTTTCTAGATAACTATACGTTAAGGATACGAACGAAAATTAAGTTAGAAACTCTCGTTGGTTGAGCTTCAAACATTACCATAGCATAAAGGCCCAACGATAGAGGTCAGCATCGGCGATAGAGGAAACTGGAGCTGCCAGCCGTGGTGGAGGGTGGTGGTGGCTTGTGGTGAAGGGAAGAAGGTAAGAAGTATGAATTTGGAGGGGGTCTTTTTCTTGGTCCTATTCTTGGAGGTTGTGTTAATTTTAATTTATTTCTTTGTCATTTTGGTTTTATTTCTTTTTAAAACTATTTAAATTGAAGGGTGAAGTTACTATTTTACGCTATCTTAACAGTCAAATTAAACAAAATTTGTCAAGAGGAACGTACTTTTCTAATTTTTGAAAGGTTAGAGACGAGTTGTGCCAATAAAATTGGTTAGAGAAATTTGTTACCTTTGTGAAAGATTGGTGAGAAAATGCACATTAAAAACCAATTCTAAAACATCTGAAATATCGAATCCCTTTCATTTTTGTATGTCCTCATACAGTATTTTCTCATAACCTACAACTACAATTGATCTTGGCTCACTTCATCATTCACATTCTAGTTCTGCCCTCTGCATAAATCCTACAGAGAGAGAGCCGGGGGGGGGGGGGGGGGACAAAANGGGGGATCAAAAGAAAAAGATAAAGATAACACGAAAAACCATATTGGAAGCAGGTTTATTCATTTGACATTGACATCAGAACCAAATAAAAAGGCAAAAATATCTACACTGAATTTATAATGCACACCAACAAACTCAAAGGATATACTGCACACATAATCCACCAGTCAGACAATAACATAATAACAAAGTATAGTGGAAGGATTTCTCCTCATATATCTTCATCTCTACAATGCAAACCAAGGGATTACAGTCCCTATGTAGTATGTACGGAAGAACAACAAACAAATGGTACCCAGTAAGGCTTTCCCCTCTTCTTCTCTTTCTTAATCTCTGTCGGATACCTCGCTGGAGAGTTCCACTCCTCCATTTCTTTATTCGGTGCTCCAGAACCTGAAGTCGAATTCACAGTGGTTGTTGCTTGATCATTATCTTTCGTGGCACTCTCGTCTTTCTGACTTGCAGCAGGCACTTGTTTTGGGTTAGGAGACTTGGCTTCACTCAGAAGATTTTTCAGTGGGCTGTGTTGCTTTTCTGAGCTCCAGTTTGTCACTTTGGCAATAGTCTCCTCGTTTTTCTTTCGACCTTCTGATTCATTCACTACATTTGTTATGGAAGGGAACCAGCCCTGAGGAAGAGCTTCAGATTTTGGCTGTTGAGCATTCTGAGCCATCTCAATTTCTGAAGCAGAACCTTCCTGATTAACTTTTTCTGCAGACTGGACCAATGTCCCGAAAGATGGAGGCTCAAAATCATCTGACTTGTGAGGATGGCCTTCTGTGGATTTAGCCTCCTGCTTCTGAATATTAGCTTCTGATTTTTCTGCTCCTTGAGAATCTGTTTCAGCAGTGGGTGTTGGGTCGGATTGCAAGGAAACGACTGTTTAATAATATATGAAGCAAGTAATATAATTAGAATGAGTGAATTCATCTATTACACAGTAGTAGTTCAATGTATGACATGCAACATTGAGTCATCATCTAATTTATCACATAATATGAAAGACAGATATGCACACAGGATCGAAAACTCAGATCCAAGTTGAGACTGAAAGCAATGGTGAGGAATGTATATTAGATCTGGGCGTTCTTTTCATTTGACCCCAAATCGATTATGATATGTTTCTTACAAGTCCGTTGATGGTGGAAAGGTACTAATGGTAAATAATGTGAATTGTAAAGTCTTAGAAATTGGCACCATTAGAATCATATTGGTATATGGTTTAATAAAAGATGATGACTTATGTAAAAGTAAATCCCAGATTTGAAAAGAAACTTGGTCCGTCTGAATACTTGATCCAATCGGCTACAATTTCTGAAATGAGATGGGCCTGTAGTTTCTATTTGGCCTTCGTAAGGTGTCCTTCAAAGTGAGGTCCAAACAGAGTGGGCTTGTGGTGGGTTCCGGGGCTTGATTCTGGGTGATATAGGGTGGATTGCAGCTCCCCCATCAACTATAGCTTTTGGGCAAAGTAGTTGCACCTCCCCACATTAGTTGGTATCAAAGTTAGAGGCTGTGTTCGAGTCAACAATGGAGCATTTCTATGGAATGTTTGTATAATGCAAGCACACGCTTGAAACGCAGGTGGGCATATAGTCTCTATTTACCTTGCAAATATTATTACGACCATTCATTTTAACAGCTATGCAGGAAAAAAAAATTGACAAGTGGATTATAAATAACAAAGCTAATTAAGAAAACGGAGACCAATAAAAAAATTTGCAGGGAAGTAAAACCTAAAGGATGGTTGCCGTCCAAAATCTCCAAGATAAGCCAGAATTTCCTCGTCTATCTGCAGTTCCTCGACTTGTGCTCTGATACCTTATACCTGCCCATTCCATCAACAAAAACATTTAATGAATAGTGGTTGTGTTGTAACCAAACATCGTCAGAATCAAGATTAAGTTTAATAGAACGCCACCAACCTTTTTCTTTCCTTATTTTCTACAATCAAATACCATTGCATAGTTGTTGCAGCTGCCCCACATTGTCCAAATTTATCTTCTTTACAAATTTTGTCCACATTGTTAATCAAAAACACAAGTCTCAACAAGGCCATAAGAACATTTATGGTGGTGGTGTGCCTTATTATCGAAGTATAATTTCATTTCAAAGAACCTTTTGACTTGTAATTAGTCTCCAGTATTGCTGTCACGGGCCACCTTTTGATGGAAGACGATTAATTCTGGAAAGATGTAGTCGTTGAGGTATCTCTCGAGGGCAATGTGCAAGAAAGAATTGCTAATGGTTAGAGCAGACTAAGGCCAGGAACTTTTGAAGCATTTTGCCTATCCATTAAACTCCTCATTCTCTCAGAATCCTCATATCTACCAGCACCAGCAAATATGTTGGACAAAAGCACGTAGTCACCGCCGTATTCCTTCTCGATATCCATAATTTTGTGTGTTATTCTCTGGCCCATCTCAACATTACCATGGAAGCTACAAGCACCTAAAAGTGTCCTCCAAACTACAACATTACCAATCTCAGTAGGAATCTCTAAAGCTATCTTCTCTGCTTCGTCTAATCTCCCTGCCCTTCCCAACAGGTCTATCAAACTTCCATAGTGCTTAATGTCCGGTGCAATACCACTTTTGTCAACAAACTTCCTGAAAAAATCGAGCCCCTCGTCCACTAATCCACCGTGACTACAAGCATTTAGAACACTCAAAAGTGTGATCCGATTAGGCTTAACACTCTCATCCTCCATTCTTTTATAACAGTCTGACGCCTCTTTAGCCATTCCATGCATTGCGAATCCAGAAATTATGGATGTCCAAGAAACCAAATTTCTCCTTTCATCTAATATATCTTCAAAAACTCTCTGTGCACACTCTATACTGCCACATTTAGCATATGCGTCTATGAGGCAATTCATGACACGAATATCAAACGCATTCAACCCGCTTTTCTCTCCATAAGCATGAACCATTTGGCCAAACTCGAGACACCTAACATTCCAAATGGCCGGATAAATGGCAAGAAGAGATAATTCAGTAGGCTTGATGCCCTCGTGCACAACCATTCTTCGAAACAATGACAATGCTTCATCGAACTGATTCATCCTCGTGCACCCATCTATCAAACCAGTCCAAGAAACCACATTCTTCTCCGGCATCACGTCAAAAACAGACCTTGCCGATTCAATCTCACCCCACTTACAAAACCCGGTTATCAAAACATTCCATGTCACCAAATTCCTTTCAGGCATTTCATCGAACACTTTCTTCGCTTCAACCATACTCCCACAATCTCCATACATATTAACAACTGCAGTTTGCACATAAACGTGAAACTCAAACCCCACTTTGAGGCTCAAACAATGAAGCTGATTTCCTATTCTGGGGCGTTTTAAATTGGCACAGGCTTTGATGAGATAGGAATATGTAAAGCTATCAAAAAATACAGGGTTATATTTGTAAATGAGATGTTTGAAAACAAATATAGCTTCATTAGGGAATGAACTGAGTGAATAGTGTTTAATTATAGAGTTCCAAACCGTGAGTAGTATGTTTGCATTTTCAATTTCATGTACAAGTAAATGGGAATGGAACTGTTGAATGGCTCGGCGGCAGTGCAGGAGTCTGTGTGGAAGCGACAGAATGAACTGGTGTCTGCTCATTGAGTGACGACGTGAAACCTATAAATACCATATCAGCATTAATATGGATGGACTCGCTTTCTTTGCAAACACAAACAGTTTCTCTGTCTGAAAAAAATTGAATTTCGGTCAATTTTGTGGATGAAGAAAAGATTTTGGCCCCATATATATATATATATATATATATTTGGGTAGATGAGTTTTGAAATAGCGAATTTTTGTAAAATGTAAAAAAAAAAAATTGGATTTACTTACAAAATATTTTCACAATAAAATAGTTTTAAACATAAACTAATTTTTTTATTTTTTAACTACAATTCTCCAAAAAAATCACTAGAGTAATGCAATTTAATCGCATTGGGATTGCAACTCCAATATAAGTAGCAAGACTTTTGAGTAACGGGAAAGACATTGCTTACTCATCGAAAAAACAGCTAATGTGACATTAATTATAAGTAGAATTAAACAATTCTATATTTCATTCAATCAATCATTTAACGCTACCTAAACTGGGGCTGCAACCCGATGGGGCTATGTAGCTTTACTCTATTACAAAACTTATTTTCGACCCCAAAAATGCTGCTCAATGACACCATTAAGATAGACCTCACATCTCAGACCTTATTATTTGTTTTTTTTTTTTGTAATATAAATATTTTACATATATGAGAAGGGTCTTCTCAAGCTGGTTTACCTTACATTACTTTAGAATATTGTCCAGTGGAAATAATCTGAATTACAAATTTGATCAAGAATTTAATATTATATTTGATTAGTTGGATGAAAAGGTCTAGGAGACGCAAAGAATGATGATACAGTACTAGAATGGAGATATTAGAGAATACATAAAGTACGTATTTTAGTCAAGTGTTGCTTAATCTGTCTTATCTAAATGTGCCATAATTGCGCTAAATAGAATAAAGAACTATGTTCAGGCATTCGACTGAAGTTACACTAGAAGATGATTCTGAATAAGCTAAAATTTTATGTGGCTCCAATGCTCTTGACATTCATCATATGTAGTACTGTGACAAGCAGATGATATCATGTGATCAACTATGTTCATTTAATCGTTTTCATTGTCAAATTTTAACTTCGAATTTAACAAAGGTTTCTCAACAAAGGTTTCATTCTTAACTCAGAATGGTCCAAGTATTTTCAACACAAGACTTCAAGAGCAATGATATAAACATGAAGTACGTATATTCATACAGACAGGTTCAACTCAAACGACCTTCTGCTACCATTTCTCTTATGAAATGGTATTTGAGTTCAACATCTTTCTAATACAATGGAATACAGAGTTTCTACTACGATGTAGAGCATTTGGCTATCTGTGTGTATAACAGCCCTATCTTCCAGCAGATGCAACTCTGAGCAAATCTTGATGCCAGAAGTTGTGGAAGGCGGACGCTAAGATGGAATAGACCCGCTAATATGTCCAATGTCCCTGCTGCAAAGTGCCTATTTATCAGCTATGTAACGCTTTTCTGATGCTGGAGGGGGGACGCACTGAGGCAGTGGTCAACTGATGGTGGTTAGAGCACTGACCATCGTTATAAGTTCACCTCAGTCAAAAAAGGGAGTCGAAACCAATTGTTGGAAAAGCAACCCCATTTCAGGTGTAGAAGTAAAATGCTAGTTAGGCTATTCAGTAACTGTTTCTCAAAAGGTTCACCATAGAGTTTTGCAGAAAATTAAACTGATAGGATACATTCCGTGACTAATAAGGTGTTGCAGTCCAGAAAATTCTTGAGCTTCTTATTTTCGCCATTTAAATCCTGGTTCAATTCCCCCCGATTCTAATACACAGACGAGAGCACAAACTATAAGCTATTCGTGTAAAACAATTTGTTTGCCCACTCCTAGTAAAGGAATGACATTGTCCATCCTCAAATTCTATGCAGTATGCGATATTGAAAATCATGAGCAATCTCTCCTCAACTAGCAGAAGCCAAGCACTAAAAACAATGGCACATGAAGCATTTTGGTAAACCCGTGAATATAATCTCTCAAGGTAAGCGAAAGCAATTATCAGTCTTACTTGTAAGTCCTAACGGTCTTCCAATGAGTGCAAGTTCAACACATGGGTCGTCTTCAGGATAACTTCTATGACTACAAAATTATGCCAAAGTTTCTAGGTGGAACAGAGCATCAACTAGAAGCCTCAGTGCACTAGAAGGATTTTCTCTGGTGACTAGAGACACATGTGGCCTGTTTCAAGTCCGGTACTCCATCTACTCTAAGACTGTTATTTCATGATGAAATCAGAATGTGGTTTAAATCTATTTCAACTCCCCACTTGATCCCTATTCAGTTCAATTACCAAACCGATGAGTCGGCCATAAGTCCATGCTTCTTTCGCCCTACTTCTGACGTTGAGGGACCTGTACATCTGCTCACAACTTCTAAGAAATTGTCCCTTACCAAATGCAGAGAGAACAAGACTATCAGTGTTCATGTCCACATCATCATCAAGAAATCCCATTTTTCTCCAAGTACTTTTAACAGATGCCCCATCAAATCCTAATACGCACGCATCAAACAGGACTCCAACAGTGACTAAATCAGGTTTTACATACCGAGATGGTAGTTCTGAAAGCAATACTTTCAAGTCTTTAAAATCATTCATTTTCAAATAAGCTAGAGAGATAATGTTTGCAGTAGTTGCATTCCACGGCACTTCATGTGATTCCATCTCCTGGATAATGGAATATATTTCCTTTTTACTCAAAACACAAGCACGTGAGAGAATGCGCAAACACCATACTAGATCAGTGCAACCAGTTTTTGCAGAAAGATCCACTCCCAAACCTTCTAATCTAGAAAACATACGATTATCAATGTAAACTGCTGCTAATTTTCGAATTACATCCTCTTTCAAAGAAGACTTTGAGTTCAAAATCCGTCGATACATCTTTTCCATTTTGTCCAAGATCCCGAATTTTGCATATGCCTCAAGCATTGCAACCAAAGTAGAAGCTTGCAAACCTATTCTTCGACTGTAGAGACTGTTATACATACTTTCCATCTTTTGGAGCAATCCAGCTCTTGCAAATTCTCTAACCAGCAAATTGTAAGTGATATGATCACATAAATATCCCTTAGACTCCATTACCCTTACACATTGATCTATCTCATCATACATTTTATAGTTCCCATAAGCTTGTATTAGGCCATCATACGTTTCAGAATCTGGCTTCTCACCAACGTCTTCCATCTCTCTCAGATAAAACATAGCATTGTCGAAACTCCCCTTTCTAGCAAAGCCATGAATTACAGAATTGTATATCCCTATAGAAGGTTGAAGTCCATAGCATTTCATTTCTCTTAGACATATTTCAGCTTCTTCTACCAGTCCCTCCTTGACTAGAATCTCTATAATCTTCTCATAATTGGCTTCATTGATTCTTGATTTTTCCATAGACTTCCACAAGTCGAATACCTGTTAACGATATAGAACATGAAATTAATGCTCATTTTCTAGAAAAGTATGGGCAACTGATATTCTAGATGTATAATTCATACATATGTGAATCTGAAATAAGTTTGATGTCTACTTGTGACAATGCATTCAGATTCTTCCATTTGTAGTCAACAGGTAATTAGAGAAAGAATAAGCCTAATCTTAATCCAAATTCATCACCCCTCATCTTGACACTCTACTCCTTTGTTTCAGTGATGAAGGTGCATTTTCCTAACCACAAAAACAAAAGGGTAAAAAAAAGTGAGAAAGAAACAGGTTGTTATAGTTGCATGTTCTCTCCTCTTACTGTTCCTTCAACCTCTTTCTACTCGTATTGGCTCATTACCCAGCAGAAGGATAACAAGAATCCATTTGTGGAAAACTGAAATCTAATTGACACGAAAAGTGCAGTTTTAACTCTGACCAAAAAGGTGGTCTGAAATGTGCTAGTTATACTCGTGGTTCTTAAAACCTTGCTAACTATACCCACTTTGGTCAACTCTGCCCCACTTATGTTGCTGGTAGTGATCATTGGTTAGAGGCAAAATTATGTGGGTTGCTTTGGTTGGACAGATTGCAGATTCCATATATCCGTAAGTAAAGACAAAGATTGTTATATTACTACTTGTGTTTTTGTGTAATAGAGATAGTATCTCCAAGTTTTCATTTAAGCACTCATCTTACTCGTCTCTTTATGTAATTCTAGTCGTGAGTATTTTGGTCTCCTCCATCTCTCTTGTACTTCATTTTTTTTATTAAGCTACAAGTAGCACTAAACCCCCCACCTAGGCACACGTGGTGTTTGGTAAAAAAAAGGCCAAGACATTCATCTTCTCTTGTTGGGATTAATGGCTTACCTGAGTTGAGTTTGACCAATCCAGTTGTTAATAAATTCTGACAAAGAATCATAATCAAACCAAGAAGTAAATTGGCGAACATTAATAGTGTGAAGTCTCGAGCAACCTCGAATACGAAAAAGCGAACCAAAATACTTTATCAAATAGGGGAGGCCCAAATCGGTGAATAAAACATGAATGAATAACAGATTCAATTATAACTTAAGTTAACCTATCAATGGCTGCCACATATCATCAACAAAAAGACCATTTACCCCAAGGTCTGGCCATAAATCTATAAATGGTTGTGACCAGGGAAGAATTAGGACATGCTAAAATTGAGTAGCTTCCTCCCGAATAACCATTTCTCCTCTTGCTCCTGTTGAGTCAGAGAGTTTAGGAATGGAAACCCTGGCTAGGTGAGGGGAATTTGTTGATCAAAATTTTTCGGTGTTGTGACCGAGTTCAAAAAAAAAAAAAAAAAAAAAAAA